CCAACACCTACTCATTTTATTTGATTTTATGAAATGCATTTTAAAGGCTTTCTTCCATTGATTCTCAGGGGTTTTATTTAATTATTATTATTTTTTATTTTAGTGTATTTATAAAAATCTTCTTCATTCAGAAGTAATGATAAGATTATTGGTCAGTCAGACTTGGGCTTCAATCCTTATAGCTGAGTGATTTATGCAACTCAGTCTGAATATCTGCTTCCTCATTCAGTGGATAAAAATATGTACCTTATACAGTTTTGTGGTGATTAGATGCAATGATGTTTATAAAGTGATTAGCATAGTCCTGGCACATAAAACCTCCCTTGGTTCCATTGCCATCAAGCTAAAATTGCAACTGTAATTGCTAGAATTTGTCTTTATCATAGCATGAACTTTGAGATAGAAGTCAATGTAAAATTAATATGAAAAAAAAACCTTTTTCTGGTGCTCAAAATTAATAGCCTCAAATTGGTAATTAAAAAAATCTTACTAAAGCATTTTCAAAAGATTGTAAGGTCAATGATAGCAATTGCTTATATACTATAAAAATTAGTTGCAGATCTGGTGTTGTTTTCTGGAAATAGTGTTAATAAAATTTTTACTTGGTATTGTTGCTATTTAAAAAACCCCACTTTAATCATCATTTCCCCTCTACAAAATGCAGTATTAATTAAATGGCTTAAACATTAGGATTAGTTATCCTTTTTTACATTCGCAGGATCTGATTTGAAACAAAGCACACAGCAGAAATAAAAAAAAAGTAGGGGAGAAAAAGCCCAATAGAAATTAAGAGCATACTCAAATCATGGTTGGGATATGGCAGAGTCATAACATGTAACCAAAATGTTTGTACCCCCATATTTTCCTGAAATAAAAAAAAAAAAATTAAGAGCATAGAATTAGAATTAGTGCTAAGAATTGTGACTCAACCTATAGCAATTACAGAAGATCTCATTGAAACAATTTCATGGCTGTACCTATTAGAGGAACTGTATCTTCTTCCTTCTGCACCCTCCAAGATCTAATGAAGAAATTCTCATTTTAAGTGGTTATCCAGCAACAGAACCAGAAAATGGTTATTTTCACAGAATGTAGGTTTTACATTGTGTCTAGACAATGGTGGGCTCAAAGCTCAAGAGAGGTGATGCTGGCTACTAGGATGAGCCAATGAGAAGCTGTAAAGTGCTTTCTTTAAATAAAAAGGTGAAAGTTCTCTACTTAATACTGAAGCAAAAAAAAAAAATCATATGCTGAGGTTGCTAAGGTCTGTGATAAGAATGAATTTTCTATCTGTGAAATCATAAAGAAGGAAAAAGAAATTCATCCATAGTATACATAGGGTTTGGTACTATACACAGTTTTAAGCATCCATGGGGGGTTTTGGAATGTATCCCATGTGGATAAGGAGGGACTACTGTTTTCTATAATTCTTTGTCTTGTTGTTATTAAAGTACTTTTGAGATGGTTTACTATTTTTTGTTGTTTGTTTCAAGTCCATTTGAGAGAGTTAATCACTAAACTCTTTGCTCTTTGGTATGTTTAATACATTTGACTATTATTAGAGATGTCAAAATATAATTACTATTAGGCACATACTGACCACACACAGTGTCCTTGGTTCTATTCAGAATGTACAAAAGAAGAGCTGGTTCATGCTGTAAGAGCTGCTTGTGTCTTCCTATAACTCCTTAGTAAGAGCAGTGGTAATTTACAAGACCAATACAGCTTCAGAGGAAAGAACTTCTTTTAATAACTTAGCCTTAGTGTGGGGTAAGGTGAGGAGATGTTCTAACAAGTCATTAGAGATTGGGTTGTTCCAGAAGAATAGGGTAAGTTGGGGCAGTGGTGCTCGGTTGCCTCAGTGGGGTCGGGAGGCCCAGGCCTGGCCAAGCGGAGAGCCGAATGCCTGGATGAGGATGTGACTCTAGACTTAATGCCTTGCCTTGGATTTTGTCAGGACCCCCTACTCCTTTAGACCACAGCAGTCCAACTACTGGCATCGGCATTTATTTGCCTGAGTGGGGCCGCCTTTTGCCTCCTGAACCCCCTTTGACTGCCTACTTGGCAGGCCTGAAGCTCAGGAGAATTAACATGCCCCGAGAAGAAGCCTTCAACCAATGATTGGCAGGAGTTGGTGTATAGAAACCCCAGCTCCGTCGCCCACTGGCTTGGGTGGCTCATGTGTATGCTTCACACTGGCCTTCCCAGCAGCATGAAGTCCCAGTAGCCTACGGTGCTAGGTGGCTTGACAACACTGTTCAGTGGCTGCCTTCCCCTTCTTGTGTCACTTCTCCACTTGCCTATCAGAGTTTGCCTTCACTTCCCAAATAAACCCTTGCACTGGAATCTCTGTCTCAGGATATGCTTCTAGGGAAAGCTAAAAACTAAAACACCTCACCTCCTGTTTCAGAGAGAAGGTTTCAGGCACCCAGCATGGATGCCCTGACACCTTCAGGCACCCAGCATGGATGCGGGCGTGATGAGCAAGGACCAAAGCAAAGGCATTAGTTAGATGGCCTAGGAAGACAGTGCTTGGAAGGACACTGCCTACCTGTGGCTTATTTCTCTGTGCCTGAAGCTCACAAGTCCTCTTCTGCCCATACACTCTTTCCCAACACTGGGAAAAATTAGATTGACTGGGATTTTGTTTTCTAAGATACCATCATATCCAGCCTTGCCTCCCTGAGATGGAGCCAAGCTGTCCTGATGGCAAATCAAGTCTGCCCAAGCTCCTGAGTTACATATTTACAGGCAGGCTCTTGGTTTATACCCTGTAGCTGAACACCTATTATGTCATCTGCCTGGCACCCTGTCCCTTCTCCGGGGATTAGTCACACAATCCCCTATTTCAGCTACTTAATCCTGTGGGCACTGCCAATTCAATCTGCGGAACTGAGGGGCAGCTCACCACCCTTTCCCCAGACATGGTTGAAGAGTGAATGTGGAGTGAAAAACTGGAGACAAGAGAACTTGCTGATAAAATAATGGAGAAAGAAAGGCAAAAAGCTCTAGGAGGGGTTGAGGTCAATGGAGAATTTTGTGCTTTTTGTTTGACTTTAATGCAGCTGAAAACTTAGCAATCATCCTTGATTCCTCCCTCCAATCTCTATCAACCTTGTTCCTCCTCCTGCCAGCACCTTGACTCAGGTCTCACCTCCACTCCTGGGTCACTTGAGCAGCCTTCAAACCTCCTGCCTCAAGCTACAGCCCTTCTGTTCTCCACTCAGGTGCTAGAGCGTTCTTTCTAAAATGCAAACCCCGTCATGCCAGTCTCTACCCAAAGCCCTTCCATGAATTCCCACTGCCCTCAGGAGATCATTCAAATCCTTGGCGGGACCTATGAGGCCCTCTTGTTCAGGACCCTGCCTGCCTCTCCAGCCTTGTGTGACATACCCAGGCTACTCCACACTGCTGCAGTTGTTGAAGGTGCCATTATTGTACTCACCTCCACCTCTGTGAATATACTAGAACTCCATGCTTATGGGGTACTCCTCTTCTTCCTTCTGTCACCTCCTCCATGACCTATCTCCTGCTGGTCCTTTAGGATCGAGTTGAAGTGTCACCTACTCGGGAAGACTTTCCCGAGTCCAATCTGGATAAGTGCACCTGGTATCTTACTATGATGACACTTACCAAACCACTTTCTAATTGTTTATCAATAGGAGAGCTTGACCTGTGTCCCTGGAGTTTAAGAGGGCATAGAAGCTGATGCCTAACATTCCTGGAAAAGTTGCCAACTGAGAAGTGACAGGAGCTTCCCCTCATGGCCCAGTAAAAGGGAGGACTTTGGTAGGTGGGTCTGTCCTCCAGGGTTTGGGTGAGACTAAGGTGCAGGCTCCGCCCTGGGCCAAGTGGGCACCTCAGAAGATACCTGGGCTTCAGCCATTGTTTGGGTCCCAACACAAGGACACTACTTTGCTGGGTGGGATGATGCGATGGAGTCTACATGAGGTTTACCATTAGAATGGGAGTGGAGGGGGTGCTTGCAAGTAGTGACCAAATATTGCATCTCTGCACCAGAGAGCAATGCGGTGGGAGATATGTATAGGGGTTTCTGAAAACCCCATATTTAGGAAAAGAAAAGCTTTTAACCAAGGCCAAAGAAGTTAAATAGCTTTCCCAAGATTTCACAGCTAGGAAGTGACAATGCTGGAATTAGACCCTGATTCCAGAGCTCATGGTCTTAACTGCAGGATCAGGCAGGTGAGTGGCTGCCTGGGGGAGTTTGCACAGTGGGGGTGAAAACAGGCGACCAAGATACCAAGGTTTCCTGAAGAAGTAAGTGAGAAAGGAAAAACAGCGTGGGTCATAATATCCCTTAAAGATATGGCTACTGCAAACTTCCACGGCCACATAGCTAAGCGCCTAGTTCCTTTGTTTCTTTGATCCTGTCGAAACTGCCTTGAAGAACTTCCTTGGGAGACAAAGCTCCCCACATTGCGTTCCTGGGCGCTGTGAAAGACACAGTAAGCCTTTAATAAGCCCGCCAGCACGTCGGAAATCTGGATGTCCAGGGGGCTCGGTGAACCCCGAACGTCTCTATTTCGCTGTTTGCCTTGTTCCGGGAACCGCGGGGACTCAGTGATCCACCTCGGTATTGAAACTGTGCCAAGGCTACAGCTCAGATGGAAACAAACGGAATTCATCCTTGTCACTGAACAAGGAGACCCAGCAGACCCGGTCTCGGCAGTATGACCCCACAAAGTCCCAACCCGTCCCCGTGGGCATCTTCCACCTGCCTGCCTGCTTCCTTCCCAGGAGGGACGCAGACGCAGCGAACGCGTTGGCGCGCTGGCGGACCCGGCAGCCCCGCCGGAGGAGTTGAAGCCGGAGCGGGAGCCGGCGGGCGTGGGGGCAGCCGCCGCGCCGCCAGCACTGCGGGGGGAGCCCGAGCGCGTCACCGTCGCCGCGCTGCCAATGGGCAGAGGCGCTCGCTAGCAGCCTGGTGGGAGCAGAGATATAAAAGTGCTCAAACAGACGCGGAGCGAGCGCAGCGACCGAGGGCTGGTGGCTGCGCGCGGCGGGTCGGGGGCTGCGTGCCTCCCGGGACGGCCGGGGCGCGCTCGGCTCCCTGCGCCCCTGCGCCCGCCCGCGCGCTCCTGCAAAATGGTCCCTCACTTCTTGCTGCTCTGCCTCCTGCACTTGGCGCGGGCCACCGAGCGCCCCGAGGGCCGGGCGGACGAGCGGGGCCCGGAGGCGGCCCTGGCCGCGCCCAACGCCTCGCACTTCTTCCCCTGGAACAACTACAGCTTCTCCGACTGGCAGAACTTTGTGGGCAGGAGGCGCTACGGGGCCGAGTCCCAGAACCCCACGGTGAAAGCCCTGCTCATCGTGGCTTACTCCTTCATCATCGTCTTCTCGCTCTTCGGCAACGTCCTGGTCTGTCATGTCATCTTCAAGAACCAGCGAATGCACTCGGCCACCAGCCTCTTCATCGTCAACCTGGCGGTCGCCGACATAATGATCACGCTACTCAACACTCCCTTCACGCTGGTAAGCCTGCCGGCAGGCTCCCCCCGCCCCGCTGCCTCAGTCTCCCTCTCCTCGCTCAAGCCCCTCTGTCACTCTCCGGCTCTCTCCCTGGGTCCCCCCTGCTCTCTCCTCTCTCCGCCACAGTTTCTCTTCCTCCTCCTCATTTCTGTCTCCTCTGCCTGTCTTCCTCCCGTCCTGGTCTCTTTTCTCTCTTGCTTTCTCCCCTCCAGTTTCTCATCTCTCAACTCTCTCCTGTGTTTCTTAATCTTTCCTGTCAGTCTTCGTCTCTCTCTGAAGTCTGTGTTTCTTCTTTGCCTCTATTTCTTTTTCTGTCCTTGTGTTTCTCTATTCGTCTGCCTCGATCTCTTCACCTCTCATCTCTTTTTCTTCTTGTCAGCGCCTCCGTGGTTTTGCTTTTCCGTCACCCGCCCTCCCTGCTTTCTCTCTCCTCACCTCTAAGCCAGAGCTTCTGCAGCCGATGGCATTAGGTCAATGATTTGAGAACCTGCAGCCGGCTGTAAATAAATGCCCATATCCTGTTTAATTTCAGCAGGCATGGGTTTGCTTGATAATTGAGCAGTAAATCGAAGTCCCCAAAATGTCAGCAGAGATTATTAGGTCACCTCCCCACCCTCTGAAGTGCAGCCTGTTAAATGCCCACCTCCTACCCACGGGATGCTGCTTTGTGCTGCAACTGAAATATCAAACAATTGCTAACTGTTAATGGAAGCTTAAGTGCATTTCCCTGACCGCTTATTTAAAGTGCATTTCCCTTCTGTGGTTTGACAATGAGGCTGTGGGGGAGGTCTGTGTTGGGGAATGAATGAGGGTGAGGTGGGCTTGAGCGCCAGATCTGGGCAGGCCCCTGGCATTTGCAAATGCGTGGTTAACTGGCTTCCTTCTCAAGCCCTGGCTACTTGGCATTCGTGGTCATATCTCTCCATCTGGGACCAGAGAGTGTGGCTCTCATGGATGATTTGGGAGTGAGGGCGATGACTGAGCAATCGTAATGACAGTTATACTGCATGTTTCTGTAGTGGGTTATATTTATCAATTTATGGAATAACTACTATTATTTGAGTTATTACCAAAGCGGTTTCTGTTTATCCCTCTCCATCTCTGTATCTCTCTCTCTCTCTCTCTCTCTCTCTCTCTCTCTCTCTCTCTCTCACACACACACACACACACACACACACATGCACATAACACAAAACCAGAATTAACCCACAAGCAAAAAGAAGAGGATGGACCCCCATAAGTCCAACAACTGGTGTGAACATCCTTCCAAGCCTTACATTTAAAAAGTATTCTCACCTTCTCTCTCTTGTCCTCACTTATGAGAACATTGCTCACATTTTACAGATGAGGAAACTAAGGCACAGAGAGGTCCAATCCCTTGTCCAAGGCCACCTGGCTAGTAACTGGCAGAGCCAGGATGAGAATTACATCCCCTAACTCCATCCAGAGGTCTTTCCACTGGGAGTAGAGGGTACTCTTGCAGCATGTTTAGTGTCTACTGCTCCAAATCATGGACTTTTCTTTCTCTCCTTCCAGCCTCTTTCTAACCTATTGATGGCCACTCAGGATCCCCTTGGCACTAGCCAAGACCAGGGGGCTTTCAAATACTTCCCCTCCTCCCTGGCTGTCTTGAAGCACAAGGCAGCAGCCTCTCTGGCTCCCCTTGGCTCCTCCCTTGATTTCTGACCTGAGAACCTGCAATGGTGGGTTTAGCTGGGCCACCACCCAGTTGGGTACTGGAAGGCCACAGATCATGGTCTTTGTGCTGCTTCCCAGAGCCAGGATGCAAGGCTGGATCTGCAGCTGACACAGGAAGGGGTGGGGAGGCCCCAGACCTCAGGCTAGCTAAGAGCCAGACGATCTTCTGTGAGACAGGGGATGTCAAGGTCCTGAGAACCCAGCACCGCTTCATCCCCTCCAGCATGAGGCAAAGCAGCCTGGCCTTGAACCTGACCCATAGAATTTCCCCAATCCAAACTCCTATTTGAGCTTACAAGGTGTTGGCAAGTAGGGGGAGGGAAAAGGATCAGGGGAGGTATTCAACTGGGCAAGATATTCTGCATTCAGCTGGTTGGTGACAGACTCCTTTTTTCCCGTCTCCCTTCCAATCCACTTCACACACTCCAGTCAGCATGAAGCCCAGCTCTGATCATCCAGAGAAAAGCACACAATTGCCTACAATTCCCATGCTAAAGACATGCCCAGAATGTGGTGGAGCCTGGAGGAGGGAGCCTTTCATTCTGACCTACCAGAGTCCCACGAGAGGGTCAAAGGAGACTTTACAAAGAATATGACATTCCAATGGGACCTGGTTGAGTAGGAATGTCCCAGGTCGAGATGAACACTTAGTGCAGACAGAGGGGCGGGAGAGAACAAAGGCAAGGGGGCATCAAAGTTCACGGTGTGTTGAGGGAACTTTGAGCAGCTGGGGCAACATAGCAGAGATGCGATGCCCAGTGGAGGAGCGGGCAGGGGAGGGGGGATGGGTGTGGGCCAGAAAGAACGGCCGGGCCAGGTTGAGAATGGGCCTGGACACTCCTACGGCATGTGGCTCTGTCCCGTGAGCCACGATGATTCTAATCAGGAGGGTGACAACAATCTGATTTTGGTTAAGAAAAATGTTGTCAGCAGTGTGAAGGCTGAATTACAAGGGGACAAACCCGGAGAGCAAGGAAAGCTATTAGGAGGCTGTCACAGCCCAGGTGAGAGATGATGGGGACCCCATGAGGGCTGTGGCCTCGGGACTGAAGAAGAGGAAATACATTTGAAAACCATCGGGAGGCAGAACTGGTTGGCTTTGGTATTTCACTGAATGTCGGGGTGAGAAGTAGGAGTAGCTGAAGATTTCTAGCTCTTTAATATTACAGGACTGCTCAAAAGCTTCAAGGGCTCCTCCCTGCCTAGCCAAAATAGAGTAAAGTCCCTGGGGTCTGCTGTCCTGGTTTGAAGACCTGGCTAGACTCATCGTGACTCTCGTCCACACACTCCAGCCAAATCAATCCACTCCTTAGTCCCCAAGCAGGTCCTGGGATTTCTGATCCAGTGCCCATATCTTATTCTCGTCTCCACATGTGCACATCCTTCCTCACTACCAATGTCCCATATGTTGTATTATAATGATGGCGGTTTAAGGGTTAAGTACTTACCACATACTGGGGAGTGTTGTACCTACTGTACATGTGTTATCTATCTTATTTGGTTTTCATAACAAGCATGTGACAAGGTTAGCCCCATTTTACAGACGAGGAAAGTGAGGCTCAGAGCTGTTCAAGGTGACAGCTATCAGTGGCAACACTCTGCTGTCAATCACTACACTATACTCTTTCGTTGGGCTGACTTGCCCTATTTCTATCTCAATCATCTCTCTGCCTCTGCCCACTCCCATCCCTACCTGTCGGGCCCATCGCCCTTTGTCTGGGCCTCTGTAGAGCACTGACACTTTCTGTCTTGCATTCCAGTTAGTTGAGCCCCCCTCGTCTGCCCAGACCGGAAGCTCCTTAATCAGAATGGGTGCTCAGTCTCTCTCGGGCATGGGACATTACAGGAGCTGCTCAAGTACTAATTGAACGAGCAAATAGCCCTGGATGAAGTGGGATAAGGGCTATGCCTGCTCCCAGGGCCCTCCCCTGTTCTGGGAGCTTGTCATCAATCCCTGCCACACCTCTCCAGGGCCCTGGGTCTCCTTCCCAGATGATAAGTCTCAAGGCCAGTTTAGCCAAGATGTGCTAGCACAGCCCACACGCTTTTCAGTTGTGACTTTTCAGATGTGTCTTCTCCACTAGACTGAACTTGTATGGCCCAAGAATGAATTCTATTATTACATGTAAAGATAGATATTATTTCTTTCTAATAATAGCTTTCTAACAATCTTCTAGACACTGTGTTCCAGCCTTTATGGACTTAAAAAAAATTTAATCCTTACACTAAGTCTATAAGGTAGGGATTTTGAAGCCCCCCCGTTTTTATGCAAATGAGAAAACAGGTTCAGAGAGATCACATATCTTGCCCAAGACTGCACAGTAAGAAACTATTAGAGGTGGGAAGTCCAACTCCATAGCCCATATCCTTCCCAAGCTTTCGTGGTATCTAACAGGGCCTGGCCCAGAAGCATGATCAAGGTTTGCTGAACTGAATGAACAAGGATGAATTTTGCTGGAGAAAATCATGTTTGATCCACAATTCAGCATTGTAGATGGAAAGAAGGCAGGAGCTGGGAGAGGCCTCCCAAAGGGTATGCTCCCCAGAGACCTCTGGTAGGTGTCGGTGTCACAGTCAGGCCCTGTCTGTCTCCTGACCTCTGTGGGCTCCTCTCCAGGTCCGCTTTGTGAACAGCACATGGGTGTTCGGGAAGGGCATGTGCCACGTCAGCCGCTTTGCCCAGTACTGCTCCCTGCACGTCTCTGCACTGACGCTGACGGCCATCGCGGTGGACCGCCACCAGGTGAGCACACCTACCCCCAGCGCTCTGTCCTCCCCGCTCTGCTTTGCTTTCCAGGGCATTGCAGGGGCTCTCAAGACAGTGTTTTAGCCCAGTTTCCAATGAGTGTGTTTATCTTCTTATATTGTTGAATGTGAGCACATAGACTAGGGACATTAAACCGTTTGTCCCAGTCGTTGCAGAAAGTTGTTCCCAGTTTGTTGTTGCAATGAAGACTCATTTTCTGTCTTAATAAGCTTGCTTGTAGGGGTAGAAAAACAAACCTGGAAAATCACAGATAAAAAGAAAGTGACAAACAATTGCAGATCAGAGACAAGGCTTCTGAGTGGGAGATAGATATTCACTGGCCCGGCTGTTGAGGAGGAAAACAAGCTAGGACGTTCAGGTGGCAGGAGCAGGCATTGGAGTAGGGCATGGTCCCGGGTCAGGAAGGCCCTGCTCGCTGCCCTGGCCCCATCGCGACGGGGGGCCACAGGGGTTCAGTTCCCCATGGTGACGGGAACTGAACAGGACACAGAAGAGGACGGCTCTATGCCAGGCACCTTGCACCTGCGAACTCAAGGAGCCCGTGTGATATGCTTAGACCTCTGCTGAATCAAGGGATGGGGGCTTAGAAAAGAGCATGCATGGCTTTCTGAAGATCACGTGCCTGTGAATGAAGCTAGGATTAGGACTGAGACCTGCCTGGCTCCAAACCCACGCTCTGATCATTAGACCATCCTGCTCTGAGAAAACTCAAAGGAACCTACAAGGCCAGTATCGTAAGAGCCACCAGGACAAAGAGAAATGAGACTTAACTGAATAGCACCAAGAGATGCAACAAGGACCAGGGGATAGGAGGCTTCAAACGTGCAGATTCAAAGATACAGTTCAGTATGAGGGAGAATTTTCTCATAGAGGTATCCAAGGCGGACAAACCTGCCTGGGAGGTAATGAGTTTCGTGCCTCCAGATGTATGTAAGCAAAGTCTGGATGACAACTTGATAGGGATGTTTTAGAGAAGATTCGTGCATCTGATGAGGGATTAGACTAGCCAAACTTTGAGCTCTCTTTATCTCTGAAATGCCATAATTTAGTAAGAATCAACTCTTTATTTATGTAGCAGATGCTTTAGTACAAAGTGTGAGAAGTTTGCATAGAAATATCTCCTGCCTTTTCTTAACCTCCCCTAATTCAATGGGAAGGGCTTGGATCACCTTTACCTGGCCTCTGCTTACCCCTGCTAACACTGCTGAGAGCTGACCCGTGAGTTAAAGACAGGTCTGAGGGATGGGTGTGGGGGGTGAGTCTTGCTCATGTTGGCCACATTGCTGTGACATATACCCAAACATGGGGTCCTCTCCCAAAGCCCACAGAGTCCTTGAGCGGTGTTTAGGGCCTCTGCCCCAGGCTGCCACTTCCTGCAGCAATCTGATCACAGGCGTGTGAGGGGCAGACATGGCCAAGTCCAGAATGGAGACGCGTGGGTCAGCTTCTGAGGCCTTGTCACTTCCTCCCACAGAAGCTTGAAAACACTGGGAGAAAACAAAATCCTCAGGACACGGGCAGAATGCCCGGGGATGGCACGCTGAGGCAGTGGCAGCTTTCTGCCCTCTCCCCCTGACCCTGGACTCACCTACCCCAAAATGCCTTTTTGAAAAAATAATGTTTTTCATCTTAAAAGGAGGATGGTTTTAAACTCCCAAATCTTTATTTGAATATTTGAGGAGAATTGATTGACAGACAGTGGCAATTTCAAGATGGGTTTCAGCCCGAAGCCTACATCATGGCTTTATTACAGGCACGGGAAAGCTGGGCCCCACTGCGATTTTAGCCGCGGCTTTCATAGACAGTGCTGAGAGCAAACACTGTGATAAATGATGAGAGTTTCCTCTTCGTGTCTGTCAGCTCAGGCCCTCTCAGAGCCCTGCACAACCTCAGGGGTCTGGAATCCTGGGAGGGCGAGCTCGGATCCTGAGGAGGTGGAAGCTGACCACGGGCTCATTCCTGTGCCGGCTTTGCCGTGGTTCCGTGTGAACAGACCTCCCGAGAGCAGACCTCCGGGAGCCCTCCCTGGTTCTCTCCCTGGGCCCTGGCTCTGCCTGGGTATGACCAGCAGGAGACATTTGAACTGCTAGGAGTCTGTGAATCCAGGTGACCCCCTCTTTCCACCCCCCCCCAGGTGGGCTGCAGGGTGGGGCATGGCTGGACCCCCACCCCGAGCAGCTACCTGGTGCAGCTCAGGGCCTCAGTCATGAGTGTGAGGGGTGCTTGACTTTATAAAAGGGACCTGCCTTATGTGACATGTGAGCTGCATCATCCAGATTTCTCATTTGCCTCTAACCTTCTCCAGCTAGTGACACACTCTGCCTGTCCACCAGGTTATTATGCATCCGTTAAAACCCCGGATCTCTATCACAAAGGGTGTCATCTACATCGCTGTCATCTGGACCATGGCTACGTTCTTTTCGCTCCCGCATGCTATCTGCCAGAAGTTATTCACCTTCAAGTACAGGTAAGGTGACTTCGTAGAGAGCAGTCTGGGGACCCAGAGGAGCAAGCACTGTGCCTTCTCCTGAGCCAGGCAGGGACCCAGAGCTCAATAGAGGGAAATCTGAGCCCCCAGGGAACCCACCGTGCTCAGAGTAACTAGCACCTGCCTCCCTGAGCTGTTCTTTTTGCCTGGCTCCCATCCTGTTGCCTCTGGGTGCATGCGTGTGCTCTGCACTTTCCCTGCTTTCTCTCTTCTCAACCACTCTCGCTTCCTCCTTACTCCTTCCAGTTGGTCTGCAGGACCAGGCGGTAGTTATCGGCTTCTGTCACCAGGGGGCGTGCGGTCCCACAGCCCGAGATGGGAATCGCCAAGGCCTTAACATGAGCTTAAATTCTCTCACACAAGCCACAAATGAGATGCGAGATGCATATGCATGCCCTCTGTCTGAGGCCGGCTTCTCTACCTCCCCCACCTCCTCTCAGTTCTCTTTATGATATGCTCTCACTGAACGAGGATGTCTTTCTTTCAAACGCTCCGCTATTAGCAACTGCAAACTAGTTCATTAAAGGTGATCTACCGCTGGTTTGGGAAGAACTGGCCCTGCGTCTGATTTTGCTACCTCGGTGACCTCAACACTTAGCTTACTGTCTTCACATTACAAGCCTTCAGCACACATTCACTCAATGAATGAATGAATGATCTTAGAGTGATTTTTGTCATTTTATAGCTGCTTAGACGAGACTCCTTAGAAGCAGGGTCTGAGATAAAGGCAGGTACAGGTGCAAGTACCAGGACCCCAGAGGAGGGGGAGCCCAGTGCTCCCAGGGATGAAGCCTTTGTGCACTAATATCCCGTGTCACCTTCTCTTCTCTCTCCCTCCCTTCTTTCTACCCACAGTGAGGACACCGTGCGCTCGCTCTGCCTGCCCGACTTCCCCGAGCCAGCTGACCTCTTCTGGAAGTACCTGGACTTGGCCACCTTCATCCTGCTTTACATCCTGCCCCTCCTCATCATCTCTGTGGCCTACGCCCGGGTGGCCAAGAAGCTGTGGCTGTGCAACACCATCGGCGACGTGACCACGGAGCAGTACCTTGCCCTGCGGCGCAAAAAGAAGAAGACCATCAAGATGTTGATGCTGGTGGTGGTCCTCTTCGCCCTCTGCTGGTTCCCCCTCAACTGCTACGTCCTCCTCCTGTCCAGCAAGGTCATCCGCACCAACAATGCCCTCTACTTCGCCTTCCACTGGTTCGCCATGAGCAGCACCTGCTACAACCCCTTCATCTACTGCTGGCTGAACGAGAACTTCAGGGTGGAGCTGAAGTCATTACTGAGCATGTGCCAAAGGCCGCCCAAGCCTCAGGAGGATAGGCCACCCTCCCCAGTCCCTTCCTTCAGGGTGGCTTGGACAGAGAAGAGCAATGGCCGGAAGGCTCCTCCACTAGCCAATAACCTCTTGCCCTCCTCCCAACTCCAGGCTGGGAAGACAGACCTGTCGTCTGTGGAACCCATTGTGGCGATGAGTTAGAGGAGGCTGGGAAGGGGCAGCGGAGGAGTCTGTTTCCAGCTGAGCCTGGGAAAGAGCCTGCTCTCTCACACACATCTTCACAGTGCTGGCGGCCGCAGGACTCTCCAGCTCCTAGGAAACTACGTCCAGCCTCCTAGCCCCATGTGATGTGAAGACTAAAAGGCAACTACCAACTAAACATGTGTTCATAAATTCCCATCTAAGAAGTGCTGTGAGGAATAGCACCCTGGGTCCCTGAGGGAGTGAACCGAGGACAACTTTGGCCCAGATGGGCACTGAGCCAGTCAACTGCCTCCATCTGTCAGGCAGCTGCTGCCTTACAGCCCTTCCTGCCATTGGGTGTCCCTAAAGGAAGCCTGAGTCATACTGTGGGGACGGGTGACCCAGGTGCCCAGAGCTCTGCCTCACGCAGGTTCATTGGCCAGGGAAACATTAGCAAGCCAGAGCCGGCATGGAGGTTTCATGCCTCGCTTTCTAAAATCACAGGACCGTGATAAATTGCAAGTCTTCAGTGGCCTGGCCCTATATAGGTAAGAAAGGACCAATTTGGATTTCTTAAAGCAAAGAGAAATTATTCTTGGCACTGAAAAATTCAGAAAAACACAAAGATAAAAATTAAAAAATGACTCCCTTATCCTATCCATTTGTGATAACTTCCGTTAACGTGCTGTGGATTTGTTTGCAACATTTTCTTTTGTGTGTCCGCACAGCTTTTTTTTTCATTCTGATTTTCATTTTCCATTTGAACTGTAATGATCAACCAGAAACAGGGGCACAGTAGAGTATTTCTGAGACCCTCCCCAGGAGTAGTGTCCACCAGCAGAGTTGGAGAAGAGAGGAGACAGTGTCACCAAAGTGAAAACGGTGACCACACGGACAGAACTGGCCCTATCTCATAGCCAGTGGTGGGAAGGGCCTGGCGGAAGTGCCTTCTCCTCAGACAGCCGCCACCATGATTTGCCAAGGAACAGAACTCAGGCAGGAGGCATAGTTCTTTCTCTCTTGCAATCACGCAAACACACGGGGTGGTAAAACACGGCCCTGTTTTCACAGGAGATGAGGGAGCAGGCTTTCCAACATGCTAGAAATAATTGTGCTTAGACGCCTCATCCTCCCAAGCTGTCTAGACAGGTCATTTCTCTGTGTCGTCTGAATAATGAGTTTGTTTGTTTTTTTTTTTTTTTTTCCACACCAGTTCCTGAAAGAAGACTCGCTGGCAATATCATCCTAGTGGTTCAGGTGTTGAATATGGAATCCTTAAGGAACCTTGTTCCTTCAGGGCCCAGCTTGCTAGAGAAATCTCATTCCAGAGACAGATTATTTTCATCACCTTCCATCTGGTCCTATGTGACTCACTGTGTCACCCAGATAATTGCTAATATCACACTGGCTTTAGGTTTCCTTCTAGCCCCAGATAGATCCCGAAAGCAAAGCAAGGCTGTGCAACTGAGTAGGAAACTGAGCTGTGGGGGGGAAGGAGTCCTAGATTCACTTAGGGTCCCTTGGCTGGTAATTGAAACTGAACTTGGTTCCATCGTCTGCTTCCCTATAACGAACCAGGGAGGTTCGTTTAGGAAGACGTTTGAAAATTTTCAAGATACAAAATTTTAAAAACGTACCTACTAAATAGTGGGCAAAAAAAGTGACTTTCATTGGACTGAGAGAGTCCTCTAAGCCCATGGAGATTCCCAAGTGGGATTTTCATGCCAAATGGCTATGTGCCTGTATTTATTGTCTCTGTCGCGTCAAGAAGTAGCTAATGCTGCCAAAGAAATGCTGTGAACCAGCGTGAGAACAGGCAGCAGGGATACGGAAAGCCTGCCCTGCTCTGGGACTGATGGGGAAGCTTCACTCCTCTCTGAGGATGTCTAGGAATACAGATGTCCTTGACTTACATCTTGGTAAACCTCTCCAAGTTGAAAATATTGTAAGTCAAAATGCATTTAATACATCTAACCTACCAAACACTGTAGCTTAGCCTAACCTACCTTAAACATGCTCAGAGCACTTAACATTAGCCTACAGTGAGGCAAAAATCATCCAACACAAGCCTATTTTATCACAAAGTATTGACTATCTCATGTAATTTATTGGATACTGTACTGAAAGTAAAAAACTGAATTTTGTTGTGTGAGTTCTGGAAGTATAGTTTCTCCCAAATGCGTATCACTTTCATACAGTTGTAATGTCAAAAAATTGTTAAGTCTAACCACTGTTCGTTGGTGACCATATGTACTGCCAAGTTCCAGAGAAACCCTCTCTGGGGGAGCACCCACCGATGGCCCATTAGGTCTGCCCCCTCCCCTCCGTTCCCTGTATGCCCAGAGTAAAAAGTGATTTTTGTATTTGTGAATGTGGAAATTTATGAAACTTGAGTTGTCCCAATGTGCTGTAAAGAGCTGTTTATCGTGAGTTGCTCCAGTCTCAATAAAATTTATTTTGAGTGTGTGGACTGTGCCTCTTGGACTTGTAATTAGGTCACAGCTGGTGACCTTTAAAATGGGGACCAAGGCAGATTAGATGAAGGGAGCACGAAGGCCGGCCACCAACCCCCACGTCCTACAGATGACGGTAAGTAGCCAGGGAGGACCCCCTGCCTCTTCGTGTAGTGTTTCTTCCATTGAGTCTGCTGACAAGTTCCCTCTTCTGTAGTCATGAATCTCTGCTTCTTAACCTGGACTCCATCTGTTCTTTGGCGATTTAGTAGGAGGTAGAGCTGCCACTCAGGACTTGAAAACAATTCTCCCACCTGGCAACGTGTGGTGGGCTCCATATTCCCCATGTGGACTGTGATTTCTGCCCCCACTGGGCCCAGGGTCCCACTCTTCTACCAGGTAAGCTGGGTGGGAGCCTTCATCGCATATGTGATTACCCTGGTGCCATCCAGAGCCCAGAAAATCAGTTTTAAAGCAATTTCATGGACGGTCGTAAATGGAGGTAATTTGCTAAGCCTGGAGGAAAATTTGAAAGAAAAATGAAAGGCACGGGAGGAGAGGGAACTGAGATTCGCTGCCACTGTCTGTGTGTGTGGCACTGGGCTAAATGCTCCGAGCTCATTATCTCATTCACATCACAGCGTCCTGCAAGGTGGATGTTATTATTTCCATATTGCAGATGAGGAAACTGAAGCTCAGCTAATGTAAGTAACATGCTGAAGATCACGCAACTAAATTGAGAAAATGCTGTCCTCTTGGAGATTAGGTTCTGAAGAGTGTAACAGAATCTTAATTTTTTAAAATCTAGTATTCTACAAATTTCCTTGAGTATGAGACACTTTCTAAAGGCAAAATCTGTTAACTATTCTAGAAACCAGTGCTTGAGTTACATACTTTGGAAAAAAATGCTTGGCTAGGTGAATCCAAGGGCCCTTGCAGCTCAGTGGTCAATGAACACATGGGCCTTGTAGAGGCAGGATCGATGGCTGCCTTGTGAGCTCAATTCTGGTGACAATCATCTTCCAAGAAAGCTTCTAAGTGACTCCCAAGTTGCTGGTGCCTGCTTGACTGACCATGGCAGGTTGCCAAGGCAAACAGCCATCCCATAGCCAGCCTAGGCCTCAAGTCCTCATGCAGCACATGCAGAATGCAGCTAAACCCTCACTGTTCCCAAGCTTGCTGTGATGTGCCACCAGGGCCTCTGTGGTGATGAGAGACCTTCTAGGGTGTCTGGGGCTGAGGAGGAATCTAAGAAGACTTGGGGTTTGGAGCAGCCACTTGGGAAACCTACATGTCTTAGAGTGTAGCCTGAAGAAGGTAGGAAGATGCTACCAGCCTCCTAGTGCTATGGAACTGTTAGCATCTTGCTTCAGCACCTCTGGGCATCCTCCCTGCCCCCCACCCCAATCTCTTTCATTTCAAGGAGTAGTTAGGGAAGGACAAAATAAAATACATGTAATGATGGATGCATTTTGAAAAAAAGACAAACAATAGTGGTATTTAATGTGAGAAGACTCTGGAGCTCTGTCTCCTTTCTGAGGTTTTATAACCTCTCTTCCAGAGAATAAGCTATTTGCTATTTCATGGGGACAAAGTGCTTAATGTTAACAGCTCCTTCTCTATTCCTGTTTCTAAACATCAGGGACTCTGTCTTCAAACTGGTCATGAATTTGAGGTGCTCAGCTTGAATATGAGGAAGGCAAAGGAATCATGAACACAGGATTCAGGATATTAATGGCCTCAGATAGGGGAGAGGTGTGGATCAGTATGGGCAAGGGGACAAGGTTAGATATAGATAATTGTGCAGGTTCTAGCTTTTGTTTTGGACAGTGGATTCATGGGTGCTTATTTCATTATTAAAAATAACTAATCAAATAACTAACCAGAAAACTAAATAAAAGACATACACGAGCCAACGTTAAGAGTTAAACCAAGGATTATGATTAATCCAATTCTGTGCCCCTGCAGTCTATAAACAAACAATGGAAATGGAGGCCCAGAGGCCCAGGCCTTCACTTTTCCTCCTGTGTCCTCCCAATCAAGTTACATCTATACCTGTATTAAAGTATGCAAATAAAGTCCACTGCCAAGACAATCAGGATATGACAATTACATTTCCTTTACAAAACAGTCTTGTTTTTCTGGAATTAAAATATATCTCTTTGCTTTTTGCTTAGTTTTCTATATCACTAATTCTTCCCCAACTTTTAAAAATAGTAGAAACCGGCTGGGCGCGGTGGCTCACGCCTGTAATCCTAGCACTTTGGGAGGCCGAGACGGGCTCAAGGTCAGGAGTTCGAAACCAGCCTGAGCGAGACCCCGTCTCTACCAAAAGTAGAAAGAAATTAATTGACCAACTAAAAATATATATACAAAAAATTAGCCGGGCATGGTAGCGCATGCCTGTAGTCCCAGCTACTCGGGAGGCTGAGGCAGTAGGATCGCTGAGCCCAGGAGATTGAGGTTGCTGTGAGCCAGGCTGACCCCACGGCACTCACTCTAGCCTGGGCAACAAAGTGAGACTCTGTCTCAAAAAAAAAAAAAAAAATAGAAACCCCTTTGTAACATAGTCACACACATGAAGTGTCTTGGCAGGCACCCACAAGCCCCTCCACCCCCACCCCGACCTCTTGCGCTGTCTGAACTGCTCTGGGCAAGTTACCCTTTTCCTCTACTCTCACCTGTGTTAGATTAAGTCCAGTTTCCTAGATCCCTGCCTTCCTCTTTGTCTACTTCCTTATTTTGGAAGACTACATCTTCCAGCAGTTTCCCAAGACAAGGTTCATAGGAACTCACTTCTTTTGAGATCTTGTGTGTCTAAAAGTGTCCGTAAATTAAACTCATACTTAATTAGCAATAATCAGAATGCTAGGTTGAAAAGCACTTCTTCATAGAATTTTGAAGCATTTGTATTAGTTTTCTATTGCTGCCAGTCTTAGTGGCGTAATCAACACACATTTATTATCTTAACAGTTCTGTAGGTAGATCGGAAGTCTGACACAGGCGTCCTGGAGCTAAAATTAAGGCCTCAGCAAGGCTGCATTCCCTTCTGTTAGCTCTGGGTAGGATCCGTATCTTTTCCCTTTTCAGCTTCTAGAGGCCACGCATATTCCATGGCCTTTGGCCCCTTCCTCAAGCTTCAAGTCCAGACACACTGCATCCTTCCAGGCTTCTTCTAGTCATGTCTCCCTCTGACCCTCCTATTCCGTTCCTCCCCCTCCACTTTTCAGGACCTTTGTGACCATATTGGCCCCACCTGGGTAGTCCAGGCTACTCTAAAAGTCACTGACTAGCAACCTTAAATCCATCTGCAAAGTGTTAGTAATTCTCCCCTGCCTGAACATATTCACAGGTGGGGATCTGTGATGTGGACATCTCCAGGAGACCATTATGCTGCCTGCCAACATTGCTCCTTTGTCTTCTACTTTCCAGCACCTCTGTTGAGAAACTGGGTGCTTCTCTGATTCCCAGTCCTAGGTACGTGACCTGAGACCCAGGTGTCATAGGTAGAGAGGCCAAGCAGGTGAGAGGAACGGGCTTATTAAATCACCATCTCCGCAGCTTCCGAGCATTTAATGTTGGCGCCAGCCTCTGTGATTCCTCCAAGGATGTGATTGGTACTGCTTCGGGTTTACTGTCTTCACTAGGAGGGGAAGCTTCAGGGGCTTCCACTTTGACACTACTGTAACTGTTCTCACGTGTAGATCCTTCCAGTTGTTAACTATTCCACTCTACACTTAGAAACTCAAGAACTAACCACAGAAGAGATTTGTGGTCCCCACACACCCGCCACCCCCATGAGTCGGACACGGGCCAACCCCTTTATCATTTGACCTGCTCAAATCCACAGGGTTGATAGGAACTTACAGTGGTGACTGCCTGGCCACTGCACGATCTGGAACACCCGTGCCTCATGCTGTTCTGCTAAGCCGATCCTCGCTGCCTTCAAACCGGATGAAATAAGATAACTAACCCCAGATTCCCAGTTCCTTGAAAATCTATAGCCTGCCACCGTTTCTGGAACAAATTCTTTATTAACCAGTGTTCTTTGTTGATAGAAAACAGAAGTCATTCTAGCTAGTTTATGTCTAAAAGCAATTTATTACAGGACATCTAGAGATTACAAGATTTTCAGGAACACTAGGGAACCAGGTTTGGATGTTTTATGAACAGAGTCCAAAAGAAATGCCCAGTTATCCTATGGGACTATGCTAGAAGAAAATCCACTGATGCAACTAGCCATCAATCAACACTTAGGATAGTAGACTCTCCGCTGCAGCTGCCACGAAGGAATCAAATGCCTCCAACTCAATGCTCACCAGAGGAGCGCACTGACCTTCACGCAGCCTCTACTTCACACAGTTGACTCCCTCCAAGTCCCTGTGAGTGTGCCCCTTGCCAGAACCTGGGTCCCAAGCAGATCACTAACTGAAAAAGGGCCTGGAATATGTCTTCTTCTTTTTTTTGGTTGGTAGTCTAGCCTCTGTAGTGTAAAAAAGCAGTTGGAATCAATATCAAAGGAACAAGTCTGATCTATTATAGCAGAGAGATTCACAGAAAGTAATAGCTCTCAGTCTTTGAAAGTCTAAAAATTACTTTATTATTCCCTCACTCTGGAATAATAGTTTAGCTGTGCAGAGAATAGCAGACCAACTATTATGTCTCTTAACACTTTAAAGGATATTATTCTATTGTTTCTGGCATCTATTGTTGGTGATAAGGAGTCTGCTGTTTGAATATTTTTCCTTTGTAGGTAGCCTTTTAATTTTACCTTATTTTTTATTTTCCAGCTTTATTAAGGTATAATTGACAAATAAAAATTCTATATACTTATGGTGTACAATGTGATGTTTACATATATATTTAGACACATTGTGAAATGATTAAACCAAGCTAATCAGCATACCCATCACCTCATATAATTATAATTTTATTTGCGTTGGGGTGAGCACATTTAAGATCTCCTAGCAATTTTCAACTATAAAATACATTATTATTAACTACAGTCACCAT